GCAATCCACTCACCTCAGCCTCCCAAAGGCGCGGGATTACAGGCTGAGCCACCGAGCCCGGCTCTGAGCTTTGAGTTGGAGTCTCACTCCTGTCACCCAGGCTGGAGTGCAGTGGCACGCTCATGGCCACTGCAGCCTCCACCTGCTGGGCTTAGGCGATACTTCTACCTCAGCCTTCCAAGTAGCTGGAACTACAGACGCACGCCACCACACCTGGCTAGCTTTTGTGATTTATTATAGAGATGCCCACATTGGTCTTGAACTCCCAGGCTCAGGCAATCCTCTCGCCACTGTCTCCCAAAATGCTGGGACTACAGGCTGAGCCACCGTGCCTGGCCAAGAGCTGGGTTTTAAACTTGGGTTTGAAAGAAAGAGTAGTGCCTGACTCCTAAGTTCTATAATACTTTTCTATTAAAAACTGGTACCAAGACCGCATGTGGTGGCTCATGCCTATAATCCCAGCACTTTGGGAGGCGGAGATGAGAGGATTGCCTGAGCCCACGGGTTCGAGACCAGCCTGAGCAACTTAGCAAGACCTCATCTCTACAATTAAAAAAAAAAATTAGCCAGGTATTGTGGTGCATGCCTGTAATTCCAGCTACTTGGAAGGCTGTGGCAGAAGGATCGCCTTAGCCCAGCAGGTCAAGGCTGCAGTGGCTGTGAGCATGCCATTGCACTCCAGCCTGGGTGACAGAGTGAAACTCCAACTAAAAAAAAAACCCAAAACAAACAAAAACTGGTACAAGCTGGTCATATTGGCTCACATCTGTAATTCCAGCACTCAGGGAGGCTGAAGCAAGAGGATCACCTGAGTCCAAGCAACTTGTTGTGACCTCATCTCTACAATAAATCAAAAAATTAGCCAGGCATGGTGGTGCATGCCTGTAATTCCAGCTACTTGAAAGACTAAGGTGGAAGGATCACCTGAGCCCAGAAGGTCAAGGCTGCAGTGGCCATGAGCGTGCCGCTGTACTCTAGTGTGAACGACAGAGTTAAGACAACAACTCAAAAACAACAACAACCAGTATCCAGAGATCAGAGGTGGGAATATATTATATAAGTACCAAAAAGCAGGTCTCTGTAACTTAGTGGAAGACAATGAATTAATGAAAAATATGGAGAGTGAACTAGACATACAGATTTAAAATGTAGTATCTATTTAAATAAAGAAAGTAGAAGGCTTACAACCTGTTACTTTTAAGAAGACCTGAGCCAGGCACGATGGCTCACGCTTGTAAATCCTAGAACTTTGGGAGATGGATGCTAGAGGATTGCTTGAGCCCAGAGGCTTGAGACCAACCTGGGCAACTTAGTGAGATCTTATCTCTACAATACATTAAAAAATTAGCTAGGTGTGGTGGCACGTGCCTGTGGCTCTAGCTACTTGGAAATATGAGGCAGAAGGATCACCTGAGCCCAGGAGGTTGAGGCTTCAGTGGCCATGAGTGTGCTACTGCACTACAGCCTGGGCGACAAGTGAGCCTCCTACACACACACACACACACACACACACACACACACACGACCTAATATTTATAGTCAGTCTGAAGGACAAAAATGTCTCTGTGCTGTAGAAATTTAATAACCTGGAATATCATCTGCATACTCAGGAAGGAAAAGACCAAACAAAAAGAAAATACAAATTGTCCAGAGGTAAAACTGTTTTTTCATGTCCTATCCAATATCTAGCATAATGGGGCATTCAGATCCTTAAAAAAACACACATTTTAGCTGGGCTCGGTGGCTCAGCCTGTAATCCCGTGCCTTTGGAAGGCTGAGGAGAGTGGATGGCCTGAGTCCGCAGGTTCGAGACCCGCCTGGGCAACTTGGCGAGACTTCATCTCTACAATAAATCAAAAAATTAGCTGGGCGTGGTAGCGCGCGCCTGTAGTTCCAGCTACTTGGAAGGCTGAGGCGGAAGGATCGCCGGAGCCCAGCAGGCGAGGCTGCGGTGGCCAGGAGCGGGCGATAGAGTGAGACTTCAACTCAAAAAAACCCCAAAAAACCAAAACAAAAAAAACACACATTTTATGCTGGGACTGGGCTGGTTGCACCTCTTTCCAGCATCATCACCATGCCTGGCTAATTATTTTATTTATTATAGAGACGAAGTCTCACCAAGTTGCCCAGGTTGGTCTGGAACCAGCAGGGTCAGGCAATCCTCTCGCCTCGGCCTCCCAAAGTGGTGGGATTACAGGTGTGAGCCACCATGTCTAGATGGGAGGTCTCATCTTGAGGACCAGACCCCTGGTTAGACTTATTTTAACTTAACAGAAACCCTGTATGACAATGGTGAAATCCTTGTCCCTGTATGACAATGGCGAAATCCTTATTTGGCTGCGATTTTTTTTTTCCAGCACTAGTTCACAAAATAAGCTAGAGAAAATCCTCATCCTGGGGAAAGTTCTTGGTTGATTACCAGTTTGCCTCCCAGAGAGCATTTTCAGATACTGTTGTAACTTTCTGTTCAAAGACTGAGATGTGGGCCAGGCACGGTGGCTCATGCCTGTAATGCCAGCACTTTGGGAGGCCCAGGTGAGAGGATTGCCTGAGTCCAGGGGTTCAAGTCCAGCCTGGACAACTTGGTGAGATCTCGTCTCTATAATAAATGAATAATTAGCCAGGCATGGTGGTGTACGCCTGTAGTCCCGCTACTTGGAAGGCTGAGGTGGGAGGATCACCTGAGCCCAGCAGGTTGAGGCTGCAGTGGCCCTAAGTGTGCCACTGTGCTCCAGTATGGGTGACTGAGTAAGACTAAGACACACACACACAAACACACACACACACAGACTGAGATGCTGGGTGGGTTTCTATGCTCTAGTAATAGAAGTCAGGGCTAAGGCCACTGTAACAGGGAACTGAGTCAGCAGCTGGGGTCTGGGTGGCAAGTTGCCCTGCTAACTTCTTATCTGAACTGTAAACTAGACAGACCTGTAAAGCCATATTTATAAAAGCATATTAATAGCCACAGCCCAACAGAAATGAAAATTACAGGCAGGCAATTGCATTTTGCAATTCTTAATCAGCTCTTTTCTATTCTTTTTTAATTATTGTTTAAACCAAGCTTTCTAGCCTCCCTAATTAGCCTGCTGGTAAATGAAGTATTGGTATCTGTGTGCTTTACTTGAATATTATACCACCAGCCCATTCCACACTGTTAGTCAACATTTTCACTTGACAGATGAAATCAAGGAAGGCCTAGGCCTCCCTTGAACAGAGCATCCCTCCCAAAAGAAATACAATTGATAGAAACTGCTTGCCAATCTTTCTTGCTTCTGACATTCCTTGTGGGTCTTTGACCAGAAACAAGCATGTATGCACATACAGTCTGCAAATAAGAACAACCGCTCAATGTGAAATCCTACAAAAGTAAGGTGATAAAACCCGCCACCGCTTGAAGAAAAGCACTAATAATTTTAACGAGGCCAAAACACATACACACACACACACACACACACAAATGTAAAAATAATACACACCGTCTACATCAAGATTTTTTTTTTTTGCGGTGGAGTCTCACTCTGCCGCCCAGACTGGAGTGCAGTGGCCGCTGCCGGCCACCGCAGCCTCGACCTGCTGGGCTCCGGCGATCCTTCCGCCTCAGCCTTCCCAGTAGCTGGACTTACAGGCATGCGCTACCACACCCGGCTGATTTTTTGATTTATTGTAGAGATGAGGTCTCGCGGCCCAGGCGGGTCTCGAACCCGCGGGCTCAGGCCATCCACTCACCTCAGCCTCCCAAAGCGCGGGATGACAGGCTGAGCCACAGAGCCCTGCTAAGAGTTCTTTAAGTATAAAAAATAACTATTCTCGAAGATAACTACGGCACGTACAAACCTGCTAACAAATGTTATACTTAAAAGTTCCGACCGTCGCGACAGTCCCCGGCGTGACGCGGCACACCCACTCCTGTCAGACCAAGGGGGTTCACGCAGGAAGCAGCTGGGCTGTGCGGGACAGGACGTCTGGGCGCCCCTCCTCCCGGGACACCTGGGGAAAGCCCTCTGGGGGGTGTGCAGGGCGGGGGGCTGTACCCTTGCGGTCACTCCTCCCACCCAGCCTCCCCAGACGCCCTGCCTACCGGGGTCGGCGCCGCATTCCTGCGCTCGGCACGGCGCTCCGGGGCGAGCCGACGGCCGCGGCCAGTGAAGGCACGGCAGAGAAGAGGGAGGAGGCCCCTTCTCCGGGTCCACTGGGCCGCCATGGCCCCACACCCCCCAGGCTTCCGCGGCGCACGGCAGAGTTGCGACGGCGCGAGGGGCTGCCTTACGGCGGTGTCGCAAAGTACGAGGGAGGCGAGCGCAGCGGCCGACCGTGGGCTTTCTCGGCGGTGTGCCGGGCTG